ATTTGTTGCTGAATTTTAGTGTTATTCTTTTGCCTTCATTAAATGGATTTTAATTTCCTTCTCTAGAAAGGGAGTTTTGGGAATTATGTAACAAGTGTAATTTGATGAGACCAAAGCGTTCCCATCACTGCAGCCGCTGTGGCCACTGTGTAAGGAGAATGGATCACCACTGTCCATGGTAAGAAAAGAAAAGAATAATTCACTTTTAGCAAAAAAAAAAAAAAAAAAAAAAAAGTAAAAGGGAAGTGAATCTTAGGACTTAGCAGTAGACAAAAGTTATATTAAAGTTACACAGTTTTAAAAAAAATCTTAAGGATATCTTTATTTGATCATATAGTTCTATCAACTCCCGAAGTCATTTTTCCACAGAAATCCTATCTTTTGTAACAAGGAGAGATTTGAGCAGAAAACTAAGAATTAACACGTGACCAAATATACGAAAGGACTAAGGTGCTTGTTTTAAATGAGGCAATGTACGTAAAGCATTTAGTACAGTATGTGACAAGTAGGAAGAACTTAAATAGTAGCTATTTCTAGTCATGATAAACCATATACATCCAAGTGTTTCCATCCCCTTTCTATTTGTTTAATTAATAACACATTTCAGATACCCTGATAAGCCCCATGTTATCCCTTAAGCCTTTTAAAGTATTATGTATTGGATATATGTATTAGCATTATACACATGTTGAATGTATATAAATGATAATTTGCTGATTTTGCTGAACTTTCAACATTTTTGGTCAATAGGGGGCTCTCTTGTAATATTAAAGAAAGCGTTCAGTTGAGAAATAGAATTTTGAAAACAAATGCTGTGAGAATTCTGTATTGTAACTCATTTCAAAGCTGTCACAAAAATCTGTGAAGAAGATATTGTATTTAATTCTGTTTTCCTAGCATTGGATCTCTACATAAATATTTAAGCTGGTATAGTATAGCACTTTATAAACAGATCTATATACATATATAGAGTATTTGTACACACATGTATGCATATATACAAAGTTAACGGCATAATAGGCTTCTTAACACATTGACTGCCACAATAGAAAAAAAACATTTTTTTCCTTGTCGCCACAGTGTTTTATTACAAAAATAGAATAAAAACTTTGAAAACAAAATGATTCTTTCCAATTTAATGAAAAAATTTTTTTAAATTTTCTGTGCATGAGTTATATGCAATTAAATCGATTAAATTGTCAATATCAATTGTAACAATAAGGATATCAACAAGTAAGATTTTCACAAACCAGGTTGCAGGGTTTTGCCCAGGGGGCCAGCCATCACATAATAGGTACGCTACAGCATGGCAGTGTGAGTTGCCTGTGCACCACACAGCTCCCAAGGTAAAGAGAACATGTGAGTTACATATGCTTCATGAGGCCCCAGGCTCAAAACTAGTGTGAGTTAAATGCAACTTACTGACAGTTAATGTGTTAAATTTATAACTGTATTCATCTAAAGTTGACTCAGGAGTTAGCTTTGTCTTATAGTGCTAATCAATTTAGAGTTTCCTTAATTTTTGATAACTTATTTTGATAGCACAACTAATTACTAAACTTTTAGGGAAATTTGGTTTTGACTATAAACTGATGATTTAAATATAAGGTAATTTCCTGAGATTAGGAAAAAATAAGAGCACCTTAGATAAA